TTAGGATGGAGGCCATCACTAGTAGGGTGGAGGCCATCGCTAGTAGGGTGGAGGCCATCGCTTCTAGCTTGGAGGCCATTTCTATTAGGTTCCTTTTCCCTCCCGAACCCCTAGCGCACATCAGCGCACCAGGTCTGTCTTGTTGACAATGATCCGGTCGGCAAAAGCAAGCTGCTCAACAGCCTCAAGAAAACACAGAAACCAGGAAACTCCAACCTAATAGCGATGGCCTCCAGCCTCCAACCTAATAGCGTGGCCTCCTTCCCAATAGCAAAAGGAGCCTCATTCTCCACGCCCTCTGGCTTCTCCTCCCGCAAATGCTGCAAACAATGCTTCGCATCGACTACAGTGATGATGCCATCCTGGCAAGTCGCGGCGCACGTCGCAACTGCGAGGATTAAACAAAAAAACAGATTGCCCGTTAAAGCCTCTCTACCTTCACCATCTGCTCTAAACGATATTCAGTGCCCAAAAAAACAAGATTAATATTCTGCAATCTTCAGCTCAGACACCAAAGTCATCCTTGCTTGGATCAGGTCATCCGCAAAGAAGGTTTGAGCCACGGGCGCCGGATCTGCTAAGCCCGTTGTCTCAATGATGACACCATCCAGCTTATTGCCATCCAAAGCGGTCTTCTTCAAAATGCTCCGAAGGCCCTGGATCAGGTCCCCTCTCACCTTGCGAGTACGCGACATCATCGGTTGACCTCTCTAGGGAGATCCCAAAAGCACGAATGTTTGCACATTCGGACGGGATATGTTACTAGGAACAAGAAGCCACTAGTAGCAAGGTGCCTTACAGTATGGGTTTCTGGTAGGCCTCATGCCACATCACACACTCAGCCTCACACCACACCACACACCTCGCACATCAGGTTCAAATAACCTCGGGCCAGGCAAGTTCCGCAAATTAAAGGAAGCTGCGCACAACCGTTGTAAGGATGAACGCACTGTGCTTGAACGTCAGGCAGGGGCGAAAAAAGCAATTGGTTCTGGAGCATGGTTCCACCATTTCTTCGTCGAAGAAAGCTCTGAGCCGCTACCGTGCTTTCTGATTAGAGTGACACAAATCCTTCAGTGAGTACAAGGTTACAAGGTAGGAGGAGGCTGGGCTGTATCCCACAAGCATCCCAAAGAATTGGATCCTTCTGAGTGTTTGGGGTCCATACCCAGAGAGCCACCGGTGCTTTTCCATATCAAGGCGCAGTGCAGCAAATGCATCCATTGTTCATCTCGATGATTTGTTCGGCACCGAGGTCCTCTCGCCGCGCAATCAACTTGTCATCGATTCCTATCTCGCCAAACTCATTCTCGATCACGGCAAAGCGCTTTCCGTGCGTTTCCTGAGTCGTGTGGGAGACCATGCAGTTCTTGCGTGGACTGGAAATTAATGGACATTATCCCATGCACAAAACCTCTCAATCAACTCCAGGCTGAAGGGCAAACCTACAAGTCAACACAGCGACTTCCGCCGTTCTTCACCGCCCTGCATCCCCAGTGTCTCGCAAAATGTGATTCAGCAGGGTCGTCTTGCCCGAGCCCAAGAAACCAGTTAAAATGTGCGCTGGCACCTCCGAGGCCCAAACATAGCACAACACAACTTCAATGTGCACAGGATATACCCACCTTGCTCTGCGAGGCAGCCAAGGCATCTTCTGCAATCCCCTCCTCCTTGCTGCGGAACAACATGGAACAACACCCCCTGCTGAGCGTCTGAAACTGCTGCAGTTAAACCTATGGTAGCTTATATATGTAGTTCAGTAGTATGCTATAGTTATACTGTTGCAGTTGTTGCCAGTTAAAAATCAGCTGTGTGTTTGAGGCTATGGTGTTGCTTGCAGGCAAGTGAACCTGCGAGTTGTCCTTTGCATCTACACATGTATGTCTCGTCAGAGAACACATCTATGAATCGCGTGCTCTGATTCCTGATGGCCGATGCTCAAAATGACTGGTCAAATATTTCTTAAGGACACACCCCAAGCTGTTGTGCTAGATTGCGAATCCATGAAGGGATGGTGCGCGCTCAGGGTGGGTCCTGGTATTTCTCTAACTTCTTGCACTCAGCTTGCAATTCTTTCACGCGCTTGGCCTCCGGCTGTGTGGGACTGATTGAAAGCCCTTCCATAGGGCTGGGAACCGCGCCAAAAGTGCTGAAAGGTACAGCTTCCTCAAACGTGTCACAACCCAAACCTCGGGAGCCAATTCCAGTGCTGCAGCCAGCTCCTCAGAATGTGCCATTGGCAAGTCAAATAACGTGGGATGCTCGTTTGCGGTAGCCATTCTGCAGTATTGTTCCATTGCCGGTGGAATATGAATCTGTTCGGCTGTTGAATTCAGCTGTTCGTTCTAATATAGAAGTGGAAAGTGTGAAATAGTCGAAGGCTGAAAAACGTCTTGAGACGAGGCACGGTGGAGGCGCGTTTCAAACCACCCAGATTCATCAGAATGTCAGCCCGGGTAGCCCAAAGATCTGCCAAGTGCTCTGCAGCCTCCCCCAAAGAATTTGAAGAGTTCTTGGTCTCCTGAGCGAGTTCTTGTTGCCAGTCACTCACTTTGTAGGGAAGTGTCCCTGCCTCATCAACCGAACCCACCGTCTCCCTCTGACCGTCATCTCTGAGCCTCCACGAAGCGTTGGGGCTCTGTCAGCAATTGCCCGGGGCGATCTTTGGCCGCGGGCACCTGAGCTTCAAAGGCCTCACGGAATTCATCGCGCAGCGTTCTTGTTCCTAGTAGTAAGGCCAGGAGCCCTTGCTCCTAGTAGCGATGCCAGGAGCACCTACTAGCGTCCTTGCTCCTAGTAGCG